ACTTAGCGCAGCGATGACCTTTGACAAAAACACTTTAAATACTTGTAAGGATTAGGCGTCGCGAAAAGGGAGCGATTTTCTCTCATAAGCCCACACATTTGATTCAGTTTCTTCTTATCGTTCTAATGATCGTGTACAGTTATGTCCATATGAACTGGTACAGACGAACGGTAAGTAGTTGGCGTTTACTTATTAGAGCAAGCAATCGTTTTAACTACCAGATGACTGGACAGGCCCTGATCAGACGTTGGCGTCCTTTGTCCTAACTCCGTGACTGTCCCATCTAGCAGCTTAATCGCTTGTCGAAATATATCTCGTTGCCGGAAGACAAAGAAAAAAACACTCAGTAAATGTAACTGAACACTATGAAAGAGCCAAGCGTTCATCTACTTGAATTCAAGATACATTCGAGAAGATAGTCCATCATGACTAATTGGCCTAAGGAAATTATTATTGTTGTTATTACTGCCGTCATCAAAAAGGTTTGTCATCGTTTTAAGCCATCGAATTTTCCTGCTTTCCACTAATGTGGTATGAGTTACTATTGCGGGGGTTGTTTCTGCTAGTAGATCCAGCCAGGCTAGTCTATCTACATCGTAGAGTAGAGAAAACAGATTTGTCATTGAGAAGTACACATGCACACCGGTGCAGACTATAGAATCTATTTTATTGTAGCATATGACCGCTGCTTGTATGCATTACTGTATGTTTGCCGTGCGCTCCATTTTGTCGAGTTTGTTGGGCGAAAAGTTGTTGTTATCGCTGTTTCTATCGTTGTTGCTATCTTGTCATTGGTGATGTCGTTGTTATGGCTATGACACGCTTATTGGGTGATACGAGCGTTCGGCAACGCCGGGCCTGTCGTGCGTGTTTTCCAGCCTTGAACAGAGCAGCAGTAGCAACGGTAGCCCCGTGGGGTTGTTTGGCGCAGGCGTAACGCCACCACGCAGCTTTTACCAGCGTCGTTGACGCGATCAGCGGCTACCGCTGCACCGCCACGGTACTGCGCCACGGCGAATCCAACCAACGACACGGATCTATTCAATGTCGAAGACATTTCAAACGAAGTTACTTGGAGAATTGACTTCAGCGGCTGCGCATGCCGAAGTCTTCGGAGCGAAGAAAAGATGGCCAGGGCTGGGGAGCAGAAGATGGTTGCGGCACTAACCATATGAGTCGAGTCGCAAGCTTCACCGTGACAACTACCCTGCCCGGCGACACCGCTGCTGAGGAACACTCCAGAACGTTCTGTGTAGCGATAGGTCCCCTACAACTATAACCGATCATCATATAGACTTGCATCAAACATCATGTCTAAGTAATACATCATATTTAGAACCAGTCTGCAATCAGCTCTCGATGTGTGCACATATATATAACCGATGTAAAATAACTGAGCTAAACCATGCATCTTTACACGATTCTTGCAAAAATGGAAAAAAAGAATGATGTGATCTTTTCTATTACACTTCGTTATGTATCGTCATACTGGGTCCTGTATAATCGAAGCTTCTTAAGAAAACCTTTAATTATCTATTTCAACCTATTGTGGCAACGTCACAGGTGTTTGCGTCCTGAAATGTGGAGCAAACTATTTACAAAAATAAGAACTTAACCCAGTCTTAAAGGGTTCAAAAATATATGCGAAGATACAGCAGAATATGCAGAAAATCGGGCTTTCGTAACAATCGAGGTAATTCTATAATGCGGCGACCATTAGATCCAAAGGGGTACATGCGTCTGTTCATTAATGCTGTTATAAAATTAAGAAAAGTCTTCACTGCTGAAAATACTGATTAAATTTAACCGCGTGTTGGCTCGATATCAGTAGCTCGGACAAATTTTAGAACTAACGGAACGCCAGGGGAAGATCGAATGACGGGCCTGCGAGGTCTTACATTCGATGTTTTGTCAGATCAAATATGGACACTTCAAACTGAAGGCTATTTCAGCTATAGACACGATTCACCACAATCGCAGCTAGCATCTCTTAGGCGTGTATACACCGCTAAGTAGATCCCTAGAAAAGAAGGCATGTTTCAGTTATGAGTTACTTTCCGTCCACTATTTAAACGCCATCCACGCCCTTTCGGGCTTTTCGTTAAAGCTGCGAACTACCGCAGTAATAACATGATACGATAGGTTTCTCGAAGTAGCGTTAAGCGCTTAAGGCTGACCGATAAACTTAACTCGTGATGGGTTAAAATATACAAGGCTATAAACTTATTACAATTTGAATTGTAGGTATCGCCAAGACTCGATCCGAGTAACCTTAGACATTATTAGAACTCTCCGTGGTCGCTAATTGGAAGCGTATTAAACGCTAATCGGCTACGGTGAAAATTCCCATTTTGATAAGGGTAAATAGGGCAAGCTTATCTTGTCATGAACGCCGTACGTATTACCTTAACATAATAGTTACCTTGGAGATTACGACAACGACTAAGCAGAACAAATGAGCTTGACCAACACAAAAGTTACAACGATAATTCAATTGTACTATACCGAAAAGCCAATAGCGAGATGTATGCATTTTTTTTTTTCTTGTTTTCTTATCATTATTATGTTAAATTCTTTCCTAACTTAGATATTAGTAGAATGGCAGACTTAATAATACTATATTTATTATGCTGTTAATAGTGGCATTTCTTAGACCAGTTACCTGCATAGCTTCGAAGTGTTTCTGTAATTAAAATATGTCAAATTGAGACAGGTGCCAAAGATGCAAGCTGTTGGTTACTCGAGCAATACCCAAATTCATGATTACCTCAAGATCGTAGATGTCAATGATATTTCGAAAATTTTAACCCTATATCTTTGATACCTAACTCACTAAGTCTCTCGACAGAGTTGCCATGGTAATCGAAAGGCTTTACATCTGATTCTGAGCAAATTTTGTAGCGGTTACGCAGAGCTTATTAATTCAATTCGGATTCAATTTGTGTTGAATTGTAACATGTCTCCACGCGATTCAGACAATCAATGATGTTACAGGTTAGACCGCATACGATTGGTTCGCCAATACAATGACAACTGTTATCAAACTTTTTATTAAAGATTGATTGCCTGGAAGAAAAGGGAGGGGGTAATTATTAGAGAAGATTACAGTTATTTGGGGTGTAGACATCCTTAAAGTGCTTTTTCTTTAATTGTGTGCGAGTGACGCCAGTCTTTCCCTAAGTAGTCCTCTTGTCGAGCACTGCAGGACGGCGCCAGGGACAAGTTTTGCTGATTTATAATTCAACATCTTGCAATAATCGCAAACATTTCAGGCTCAGCCACAGCACGACGAGACAATTTTTGCACGGTCCAATTTGTAACGCACAGCTCTGTCGCTTAGTACACAAACGGGTTAAGTAATTAAGAGAACACCTGCGAGGAAACACGTCTGTCCCTATCTCGCTAACCATCCAGGACAGAATCTGTCCTGTTACTGAATCCATCATAATACGTCTAATTTTTCTTTAACAGTAATGCATAAATGCGCAGTAGCACTAGTAATAAACAAACAACGATCCCATCAGGCCCAAATTTACAGGAATTTATTGATTATTTTGAGCCTTCGTTGTTTGCCATTCTTGTCCGCCTGACAGGTTATGGTAAATTTTTCAAGATCGATTACAAATAATTTGGTAATCGAATTGGAACACTTCTGCTGCCAGAACTTACTCACCGTAAACGCCAGACAACGTAGTTGATCAGGAAAGTTTGAGTCTATGCTGATTTTGCTACTCAGGCAGGATATTCCTATTTAAGCATCGTGTTACTAGTCTAGTGTTCAGCTACGGAATTATTTAGTAACCTGGACGTGCCTATAATGAGACATATTAGTATTAATACTTGAGAAGAAAAGCACGTTGATTTTGGTAAAAACACAAACATTCGTTTGTGAAAAGTGCTCCTGGGTAGAAATTGCTTCCTTCAATGATGCTACTGTAATGACAATCTGAGATGTTTTCACACTACGTATGACTATGTAATAATAAGCCCAAGGGCAGTGCAACAGATTGGGCATAGACGAGTGGGACTATAGAGATACGGCTGCAAAAAGGCGAAGACCTACTGAAGATAAATCGGATTTCTAGCCGAAGTTGTCAATTGGAGCCGATAGACGAATTCTAGTTCAAAGAACCACTTTCACTCCCCTGACATCTTCTTCGCTGGTTCATTTTTCGAACTAGCGTTCGGTCAAATTGCTATTGCTCTACAACACGCTTGTGTTTCGGGTCTCTATTATACAAGGAACAATATCACGTTTTTTGAACTAGGATAGCCAGGCACGTTACCGTCACAGTTAAGCTATAATAGGGAAAGTGAATAGACGCCTTATTAAAATGATCGGTATTAACTTATTTTACTAAATAGAGGTGAAAACTGGCTCGTGATATGTACTAATAAGATCGAGAAAGGCTTATTTTGCTTAGTTCCACTTGTCCATACGATACAATGTATATATCCTAAGATCCGGCACCGCTGATTAGAATGCCCTTCTATCAAGTAAATTGTCTTCTTTGAAACGCAGGATTTCGTCATTGCTCGAACGCATCCGCAATGCGCCCAAGTTTTCCAGCGGACCAAACCAGCTATATCAGTTAGTTTCAGCTTTACCATTTAGCTCTGCAACGGCTAGAAATAGTTCTACCACATCGGATGGAACACTCGTGTGGAACTATTAACGATTAACTACACAGATGACCAAAATAGAGTTACTTTTATGAATAGCAAACTAATTGAGCCTTATTAATACGTACATGGACCGCGTATATATCTATATGGAATTCATTAAGTAAGTTTTTTCTTAGTTTCTACCTTGTTTCCGGTAGCAATACACCCCTATGCTCGTACTCTAAAATAATATAGCACTGAAATATTTAAAATATGGCATGCTTAGTGCCACATGTTGATGTGACATTTTTGCTATCAGTATGTTTTGGGCAAAGCTTCAATTGACACATGGGGTCGTTAATGGCGAAAATAATCTTGCGCTTGTATTCGCTCACCTTTATATTGGCGAGGTCTACGACACACCATCCAATAGCTACCGTGTCAGTCTCGTCCGATCCTAGAGATTCACCCTGACTGCCCGCCGTCACCGCCCAGAGCAGCACAGCATAGCGAGGATGTTCCATTGTGTTTAATTGCTTTCTTCCACTTCGTATTTACAGATACACGCCCAGCTGACACTTCGTTGCCCCTGACACCTTAACTTCAAACACTCGTGGCACCACCCACCAACACCAAGTAAATTTTTTTGAATTAAGCCCCTTTTATTCGCTCCTCCTTTAGATCTGCACAAAGTTCAATTACCAGGTGCACACTAAGTTGGCTCTTTTCCTCTCACCTCACCAACCATTTGCTTGTCATCACACGCGGAACAGGCTGACGAGCTCCTGCACCTCACCTCACCTCACCTCACCTCAACGTACCGTACCGAACCTCACCGCTCACCTCAAAGTTCATCAAGCGCTTGCACCACCGACAACGTTTCGCATACCATTCTCCTCCTTAACGGTGCGCGAAAGATCAATGAAGGCACTAACAGGTAGTTTTGCTTGATTTTTTTAGAATTTCTGATCTATTCTAGCACCGGCCTCACTATGACCATGATGATAGTTTTCTATTCGATTCAAGAGATAGAGGGAGCAGCGCAAGCATAAGATGAGACCCGTTAACATCAATCACGCATCACCAAATTACCACCAAGCCACCCTGTGAAAGGGACATCACACATTGCACACGAAACTTAGAAAAACTTATAAAGAAGAAAAACAATGGCTTTCCCCAGCAAAAAGGGAAAACGGCAGACATACGCGCACATCTATTGTAAAATACGTGAAATGTTTTTTGTTCACTTGAAGGAGTCACGAAAAGATGGCTGAAAGTCCAATAACCTCTTTCGGGACACCAAACATTGTTTGTATACACAGACTGCCAAGATAGAAAATGAGTATAAAATGAAAAAAAAAACGCATTATAATACTTGCCGTATATACCACCTTCGAACTACGATGTAAAAAATGGACCGTTGGATTTCTATTATAGCGACCTATATACTCTAATAAAGCAGCGTGTTTTTATCTGTCTTGAAGTTCGACAGATGCTATATGTTCCCGATCATAACAACATACACACTGATACATCAGTATTTAAACGCCACATCGTATATGTTAATTAGTCAGTCTCCCTCCCCCCTCTCTCTCTCTCTCTCTTATTACGTTAAACTTTCACTTAGTAGTAAGTTTAAATTTGTGTTCGTGAAGAGGTTATGAAAAAATCACAACATGAACGGCATAGCCATGGTGATACAATGATAGACGAATAGGGGAATCTAAATGTAGTATGAGCCCAAAAAAATACCCGTACTGTAGTAACGTGTGCTGCCTTACAAAGGATTCATCGCATAAACATTATTATAAACACTTGTATATAGATGTTCGATGCCAAATATCTGATACGCGGTCTCGCAAGTCGTTATAATCCTATACTTTTCATCTAGATCTATAAGGAAATACAGCCTTTTGGCTAAGCATTGTTACAGGCAGAGGAAATTGCTTAGGTCAATAACACAATGATAACGTTCTTACACTTAATCGATATATTGAAATATCGTTTTATTTATTATACTTATTATAGTTTTACAAAACAACTTAGGTTATCAGATTTGCTCATATCAGAGTTGCAGATAGCGACTCTTCTCGAGGTTCGTCTGCGACTATATTTATTTTTGTGCTCGTTTATAATGTAAATATTTCTTTCCTAGGAACACGTTTTGCCGTCAACGTATGCTTACCTTATCAAAAGCACATAAAAAAAAAAGTCGACATGATTCGAGTAAGCAAACAGCTGTTTGTTGTCCATAGAATAAATGTTCGTTTAGGCACTGTCAAGATCTGAAGCGGGCACAGAGTCGAAATGATGAAATGACCCACGATTACTGCTATAGAGTGACAGATTTTTTTGTGTCATCTACGTTTTAAATGCTGGCAAGTTAAGGGTTTTACAGAAGGGCAAGTTACTACGCTCAAGGCATAATGGTCCGAAGAAAAGTGCTCTACGCAGTTTGTATGTACATGTCGGATAAGTTCAGGTTTCTAGACGGGCTATTCTCTTCTAGATATTTTGCCGCTGTGATCGATTTCAGCAATATCACGAAACAGATACTTTCCACAAAACTGCGAAATGAAACGTTCCGTTACGGCAAGATATGCATAACAGCCATAGGCTATCTATACTGATACGTTACAGATTAATACAGCCAATAGGTTGATTTGACCGACTATTAGACAAACCATCTCTCTACATCGAATTTTGTCACGACATCAGCTTCGGCACTATCAGTGGGCTTCGTGATGACTTTGAGTGGACTGTCAGATGAAACGAATGCAACTCTGACGGTATTTAATGGCCCCTGTAGAAAATCGGCCCTTATTCCATCCATAAAAAAAACACAACTGTTGGACACAGCTGCGTTTACGACCTGGGTGAAGTATGAACGGACGCTGGAGAAGGCAGCTCACAGATTCAATCGTTCCCTTCTCGGGTTTGTCTAGGGGGCTGTCTTGTGCTTTGACGTACCCTTTGTACTGTTACTAGAACACATTAGATCCTACACTTCTACACTGATTCACGCTTTTCCAAGCAATAATAGCAACTAAAACATGCCGGCTTCAAATTTGCTAATTATTAGTACACATAAGTGTTTGTTTATACGTAATGAACTGTTATGCCTGCCTTCACTTGGGCCCAAGACTACTATAGGACATATATGAGTTCAAAAAGGTACGAACTTTTATTTTAGTAGGTAATGGTAAAAGTTGAATTTCAAAAAACGGGTGAGCTTCGCTAAAGTTCATTCCACTTGGCTAAAGTTGGGCACATGCAGCACACATGGCACACTGACGGCACACATTTAGCTGAGGAAACATGTTGGGCTGGTGCAAATCGCTCATATGCTTCCTCCGAAACACATTAAACACCGACTCACTTTCGGCTGTTGTTTAGTGAAGCGTGTCGAGGTCTTTTGCGGGGCCGTTATTAACTTAAACACCTGCGGGCACCACCTTCTGGCCATAACGATAACCGTAGGATAAAATCAAAACGGACGCGAATCGAGCATGAACTATATGGCAGAAAGAAGCAGAAGCCAACCAATTCGTTCTACGTTATAGTGCCGATAGTTACCATATTAGAATTCGGAGTACAAGCACATGTTAAGATTTGGAAAGATTCCGAAGCCTACGTGCACCGAAGTGTCGTCCTTTCCCCTTGCCTTCAACGATAAATGCTACGGGATTTAGTTTACAGAGCATCTTTATATTCATATCGAAAGATGCGCGCTATACATTAGAGTGAAGTAAATAGGGAGTTTTGGCTAAGATTGGCTAGGAAGGGAAGATTTTTCTTCGTTTCTGCCGGCCGGCTACACGAGCTGTACAATGAAGCAGAGACGGCGTTCGTGTCCATTGCTCCGCGGAATTCCTGTTAGCGCCGCATTGAGTGTCTTTATTTTAGATAGATAAGCTCCGATAGGCCGCCCCATTACATTCACTCATTCGATCAACCATTAATACCAATGTTGTCGCCATACTATGATGACAGAGTTGACTGAACACCACTGGCTAATCCCGTGCTGTTCAGCTGCCTACTTTGTGAAAACGAAGATCGCAGTTCATTACAGCATTGCGTTATGTAGAGAGATTGGCTTGTAGGCGGTGTAACCGGTCAGCCGTGGAACCGTGGAGAAATCTGCTATCGGCTTTTAGTAGTCACACATCTGACAAGACTGAACACTATGATTTTGCTAGTTTGTAATTATGTAGTTCTTCACTACACTCTTCGGACTCCCGTTCAATAACGAGCTTGTTATGCCTATGCAATTGAAAAGCCCAATTTTGTTATGTCTAAATAAAGCCAGAAGACTTCCACTCTTAGTCTACCCGTCAGAGATCCCAATCACCGTTCACCATACAATCTATCTCTATCCTTAAAGACATACGCTTACTATGATACTTAGTTGTCTTGAAATCCGTGTGTGTGTGTGTGTCGTCGATCTTGTACAATATATATATATATATATATATATATATATATATGGCACGCTATTCCTCCGATAGGGTATATCAAGTAGATAGATATACGAGAAACAATACCTGTGTACTTAAATCAATTGCTCGAACAGCTTGATTCTCGACATGCGGAAAAAAAACCTCTTGATAAACGTGCATATGAATTGCCCAAAAGCAAACGAAGTATCGACGACAGGTTGTCACCTTATGGCGATCGGCACCAGGACCGAGCTCCGGATGTTGCGCACCTTCAAACTTCCCAGCCCGTCATTTTCTCTCACTACGGTCGATGCAGCGCCTTTCCGTCCTTAAGATTATTTCACTTCTTGCACGTTATCACTTCGCTGAGAGGATTTCCTCAACAAGTTTGAGGGAATCAAAAACACATCGCCTTATTCTCATTTCTTTCTGTCGCTTTTCACAAAGTTGTCTAATTGCATTATGTTTTACTACACTATCAACAACGATTGCAACATACAGACGTGCAATGTGTCGGGTTCCGTGTCCAGCCAGTTGTCCGCTTAGCTTTTACAATTTTATCCCGAGTGATCGCGCTGACGACGGTAGTCCTAACGGCAGCAGAAGGAGCACAACAACTGACGCGACTCACTTGCTGACCGACTATCAATTGGCAGACACGCGATAACAACGACGACGACGACCGCGGCAGCCGCTTCAACGTCGCTCTCTCAGCTCAACGTTGAATGTCGTAGCCGTGTAACAGCGCTACTGCTTCCCGGCATAGACAAATGGACGGAGAGACAGACAACAGCAGCGGCCGCTTCAGCTTCAGCAGAAGTCGCCATCAGTATCGGCGCATTTCTGTATGTTAAGGTTGCCGTTTCCATTGCTGCTATGACGACGATTCGCGACAACGATGATGTTTCTGCAGCAGGTCCGCTCGTTTGAGTTCTGCTATGGCAGCCACAGTCTCCTTCTCCTGTTCTGTTCCTGCGTCAGCAGCAGCAGCAGCAGCGGCGGCGACCACTGCCACTGCCGTCGTCGCTGCGGCTATTTGACGGGCTATGACCCTCCAGCACCTGGCTTCGCTCGCTCGCTCGCTCGCTCGCTTGGCACTGTTTCAGTCGGTCGGTCGTTCGGTCGGTCGTTGATGTTGACGACGACGACGACGACGGCAGCGGCGGCGGTAGCGTTGTTGTTATTTAATATTGGTGATGGTGACGGTCGTTGTCGTTGTTTCCCCCTCCTTCTCTTCTGTTTCCCTCTGTCGATATGTTGGTCTGTCCTTTTCTGTTCAGCGCGAGCGCCTGTGCGCCAACGTAGGACGCTAAAGCCAATCTCCTGTCTGTTCGTTCGTTCGTTCGTTCGTCCGTCCGTCGGCCCGTCCGTTCGGGATCGTACGACGCTCAATGTTCGCGATGGCGATGGCGGCGGCGGCGGCGGCGGCGACAGCAGCGACGGCACGTCGATGACGCTGACGGCAACGACGAAGACGCGAGTGCACGGCGAGCGCAACAACGGCAGCCTCGTCGCACCAACGGAGAGGGTCAACGCCAACATTGCGGCTGCTTTAACTACTACAACTACATAACAGCAAATGGCGACTAGTTCTTTGCCAGCCAACGTGGTGCTGCTAGCGCCATAGTTACTACATCCTTGCGACACGCCGTTCCCAAAAGCGTTCGCCGCCGCCTCGACGACTGCTTCTCTACTTCGCCGGCTACGAACATCAACGTTGCCGCACACAAATTGACACCCCAATATTTGTTGATCACAATTCTTACTATGGGCAGCAAAACAAGATCTTCAATCGAACAGAATAGTCCCATTAAAAGGAAAAAAAGAACGTTTACATTCAATAAATCGTCGGTAAAACAAGCAGAGCCAAATTCTAGAGACTTCAATTGTACAAAACAGCGAACGATCCGAGGACATAGCACTTTCGAAAGCTTCAAGCAGGCGTTAATGTCCGAATCCTATCCTTAGACGTCTTTCTGTGACAATTCAACTGGCACGTATATTAGGTTTGAGCGTTGCTATTTAGGTCGTTTGATAATTTACATTTTGTGTTATTTCGCTCTGCTTGATGTATTTTATATAATAGTTGCGAATAAGGAGAGAGAAAAAAACGAGCAGCGCTTGTCCGAAATAGTTTTGCTCTAAGTCGTTAGCTGAAGCTGTCTCAGGTAGCTTTTGTTAATAGTGGAAACGATCATTCTTTCATCTGTAGCATTCGCTAGGGCTGGTCTCAGTTCGTTTGCCTCTGCCATTGAACGCAACAACTACGTAGACTTTGGGTCTGCTTTTCTGACTGTCGACCGTCGGTACAACCCAATTGCTACAATAACAACTTTTGTTGCTACGGCTGATGTTAGTAAGTGAGCGAGTGACGTTGATGGCGTAGCTCCCTCTTCGAGAGAAATTTCAGACATTGCACGTTTAACAAGCGTTTTGCCATTGCACTCCGGAGCTGAACCGAATGTTCCGTTGACGTTCGGATGGAATAAATTTTATGGTAAGGTAGACCAAATGATGGTCGAAACCGTACACAACAGAGAGAAGTTGCTAGAGGTGTCCAAAAGTTGATGACCACCACAGAAAATTCACGTTCACGATGCCATCAAAGGCACAGGGCCATCGTTTGCCCCGCCCAGCGTTGCTTGCTTGCTTGCTTGACCAACATGAACAGCAGCGATGACGATAACGACTCATGTCCGTCGAAAGAAAAGGGGAAACGCGGCAGGAACAAGAGAACTTAGCGCGGCGTGAGCCGTACCGACGAGCTATCGCAAACGACGCTCAAAAACTGTTGTACACCGCGTGCACATCAGGCCGCATCGAACAGAGGAAGTTTCTAAAGTCGCGCACACCCAGATCTCACTTCAGCAGTAACTTTGCGGACCATTTGCATCGACGACTCCGTTAGTTTTATGGCAGTCACAGTGACACCATAATGGTAGCAGCGTTCAATAACAAGACAGAAAAAAGTAAAACAAACCAACAGCGATAAAAATGCGCCGATCAACGCCATGTCGTAACTAAACTTGAAACGAAGCTGATATTTCGCTGCCTCTGTCAATCATTTTATCGTCCTGGGCGTCGTAGTGCTCGCTCAATAGAAATTCGGTAACGATCCAGCTAGACAGATAGACAGGCAGATTGGCTAACAGTCACTTTCTTGGTGCCAATTTCATCCATACGACTGGACAACGAAGATAACCGACAACCAGGTGCCCAAACTTCATTCCGATCATGCTTTGGCGATCCGATCAACGTGCAAAGGCCACATCTCTAGTATCAATCGCAGGGAAACGCACTTCCGTGCTTGTTGGTACGAGTTGTGTGAACGTAAGACCTGCCTCTACCGTGCACTATCATTATTTAAACCAAATTAGACCCCACTAACACAGATTGGTCCAAATCCTATGCATCTCTTTTGTTTACGGTATTTGTACGATATGCTTAGACATGTGCACGTTAGAGAAATAACTGCCAGCCATTCATCTAGCTCCTGTTAAGATGAGACTTAATTACAAATGCGAGTCTTTTTTCGCTGAATCGAAGGACAATTTATGTAGTACTTGGGAGATCTAGGACTCTGGCTATTTTGCGTTTCGATCCTTCACACTATCCAGCGACCCACAAGGAACTACGTATTATATACTCTCAAGGCACATATTTCAACAAGCTTGCATTACGTGAAGAATCATTATGTCGCAAGGCAATGCGCTTGCAACTGGTAACCGGTGCGACACGGTCGCGATGATTGTTGAGTTGTTTTAAAAATGCCGCGGTCGGAGGTTTAGTTGCTGTTATGAGCTAGCTCACGGGACAGAGAGAAAGCTTGGAGTCGCAACATGAAATAGTTTATTTTATTTTTATTTTTTTCTCGGATGATTCGCAAAAGAAGCCACCCTTCTTTCATTATGACAAAAAACAAACAAATACGAAAGCTATTCGTAGTGAATGCTCCAGGAGCCTGCACGCTTGCTGACGCTCTCTTCTTGTCGGCTGCTCAACTGCTGACGGCCTATCGTGATTTAAGGGCCGGCCTAATGAGTGAAATTTCTGGTAACTTTTTTCAACCCAATGCCAACCTTGTCGACATGCTAAATCTTTCGATAAAATACTAGATTTTTTTTTACCCTTGCGCCTACAGCGAGAACTACGAAAGTGCTTCGTTAGATATTTATTATTAAGCAACAGAATTTACTACCCGAAAATATAAGATTGCAAAACGAAGTACTACTTGAAGAAACCTTTAAGTGCGGCACATGAAATGAGAGAAAGGAGATCTTAACTATTCATAGCAATGAATAGTTAGTAGACAATCAGGCCGAAGGAACATCTCGACCTGTTCTCACTGTATATGTTTCAGTGTATACAGCCTTTGAACGTGAGTGATGTCGTCAGCATGTCACAAAACAGTGTTCAGGTCGAATTTAGAAGTAGACTACTGAGACGTTCTTTGTATATAGATATGTCAAAATGAAGGGGTTTACAAGAAGTGAGTGTTTATACAAATGCATCCAAAACTATATCGGTTTGACGGTACACGCTATACATATGAGCAAATCAAAATTACTAGAATCTGGTGTCTAACGTGAAAGCGACAACCATATCTCTGTATATATTTATTGCAAGTCTTAGGCTTTTTCCATGAACCGAGCTGGGTCCAATGATCTATTGTAAGATACGATACAAAAACTTTGATGCTTTTAGAAGTGGGAAGTCATTGTGATAGATATGTTAGTTATAGTATATTACCAAATCACATCTCGTATGAAGCTCGACTAGATGGTCAAACCGAAAGGCAGAATATGGCCTGCCAAGTTCGTTAATCCAAAAGCTGAAGAGGATCTTGGTAACAGTGACTCGATAGGACAGTTTCTGTGCTTGATTTGAGTTCATTCATTTTTACCTTGATAATTTAGAAAGAAGACTACCGTCTCTGCCATCACCTTCAGCTAACGGCATTGGGAAAAAATCACTTGGCTAACGTTTGACCAAAACTCAAACCGCTCTACGATCTACGACATCTTACTGTGTCGGCAAAACAGAAACATCTCTCTATATCTAAGATACATATTGAACCGGAATTTTAGCACGCGCCTCTAGCAGCTGATGGAAGTCTGTGTTCTCATAAGCTACGAGAACTCAATGATTTGTCTAGGTAAAAGACATATTCGATGTTCTACATAGCCATTTTAAGCAGAGATTATTCGCGCTATAGAAGCGACAAAAGTTGAAATTAATGGCTAGGGCAAACGAAAACCTTCTTTTTGTTCAACGTTCATGTTGTCTAACTTGAACGTCATTCGAGAACATCTTCCTGTTACCATTTGAACGGCCGTGGATGCACTATCTGACTTCAATGTGCCTGTCGTGTATGCTAGAAAAACGTTTGTCTCACAATAATTGAACATCTTTCTCGTTTATATTTAAGCTATCCGTTTTTTGCATCATATGCGTGGACTTGGTTGAAGTCGTCTTAATTTATTATGAGTAGAATAAATGTACACTAGTAGATTCTCAAGGTGTCTAACCTTAATTAACCATCCGAGAAACTTTACACTGTAATCTGTATGTTTCCTTGCACAAAACACACTTTTAGTCCTTGATCTTCTAAGCAGATTGTCGGGCACCCAGATGCACCTTGAAGCAGCTTTTGCATCCAAGCACTAACGGTTCAGCTTGAGGAAATTTTTCAAAGTGATCGGTGGCATGTTTTACCAGTCCACTTTCGCATACAGTTATCCGATAATTGACCAAATACAAAGATGCAACTAACGATATTAACGCTATGTGGTAAGTGGGCAACACGAGCGACTAGAGTGGATTACTCTTTTCGATCTATTTTTACCCTGACGTTCACGTCGATGGCGCCGACGAGGTTTCATCCAGTTGGGGACCCCACTGGCCGCTTTAGACGATCCGTAACATAAGAACTGAGAGGGCAACCACGTTGTTAAATTGAAGTCACTCATCGCCGAATAGCAGAAGCGCTACCCCAAAATTTTCTGTGAATATCTCCGGCGATCCGGCCAGACCGCGAT